CAGACAATCAAGATAGCTTTCAATGAGATCAGCAATATGCCAACCCGTGAGATCTGTGGTTGAGTGTTAAAGATGAGGCACTTATAAATGGGGCCCTGAAGACCTGTGCGAGTGACTTGGATTTATCTAGATAGTCTGGTAGGGAACAGACAAACACGAATGCAACAAGCTGACTTTGTCTAGCAGACGAATGTTAGCTTCAGAGAGGACTTGAGTCACATCACACAATAGATGTACGCCTGAACAGGGACTTGAACCCTGGACCCTCAGATTAAAAGTCTGATGCTCTACCGACTGAGCTATCCAGGCTCTGAGAGACAGCTTAGCAGTGAAAGGCTGAATACCCATATTTGCATTAAGTATCAGACAATCAAGATAGCTTTCAATGAGATCAGCAATATGCCAACCTGAGAGATCTTTGGTTGAGTGGAAATTATGAGGCACTTATAAATGGGGCCTTGAAGACCTATCTAGATAGTCTGGTAGGGAACAGACTACCACGAATGCAACACAAATACTTTATCTAGCAGACAAGTGTTAGCTTTAGAGAGGACTTGAGTCACATCACACAATAGATTTACGCCTGAACAGGGACTTGAACCCTGGACCCTCAGATTAAAAGTCTGATGCTCTACCGACTGAGCTATCCAGGCTCTGAGAGACAGCTTAGCAGTGAAAGGCTGAATACCCACATTTGCATTAAGTATCAGACAATCAAGATAGCTTTCAATGAGATCAGCAATATGCCAACCTGAGAGATCTTTGGTTGAGTGGTAAATTATGAGGCACTTATAAATGGGGCCTTGAAGACCTATCTAGATAGTCTGGTAGGGAACAGACTACCACGAATGCAACACAAAGACTTTGTCTAGCAGACAAGTGTTAGCTTTAGAGAGGACTTGAGTCACATCACACAATAGATTTACGCCTGAACAGGGACTTGAACCCTGGACCCTCAGATTAAAAGTCTGATGCTCTACCGACTGAGCTATCCAGGCTCTGAGAGACAGCTTAGCAGTGAAAGGCTGAATACCCACATTTGCATTAAGTATCAGACAATCAAGATAGCTTTCAATGAGATCAGCAATATGCCAACCTGAGAGATCTTTGGTTGAGTGGAAATTATGAGGCACTTATAAATGGGGCCTTGAAGACCTATCTAGATAGTCTGGTAGGGAACAGACTACCACGAATGCAACACAAAGACTTTGTCTCGCAGACAAGTGTTAGCTTTAGAGAGGACTTGAGTCACATCACACAATAGATTTACGCCTGAACAGGGACTTGAACCCTGGACCCTCAGATTAAAAGTCTGATGCTCTACCGACTGAGCTATCCAGGCTCTGAGAGACACCTTAGCAGTGAAAGGCTGAATACCCACATTTGCATTAAGTATCAGACAATCAAGATAGCTTTCAATGAGATCAGCAATATGCCAACCCGTGAGATCTGTGGTTGAATGTTAAAGATGAGGCACTTATAAATGGTGCCCTGAAGACCTGTGCGAGTGACTTGGATTTATCTAGATAGTCTGGTAGGGAACAGACAAACACGAATGCAACAAGCTGACTTTGTCTAGCAGACGAATGTTAGCTTCAGAGAGGACTTGAGTCACATCACACAATAGATGTACGCCTGAACAGGGACTTGAACCCTGGACCCTCAGATTAAAAGTCTGATGCTCTACCGACTGAGCTATCCAGGCTCTGAGAGACAGCTTAGCAGTGAAAGGCTGAATACCCATATTTGCATTAAGTATCAGACAATCAAGATAGCTTTCAATGAGATCAGCAATATGCCAACCTGAGAGATCTTTGGTTGAGTGGAAATTATGAGGCACTTATAAATGGGGCCTTGAAGACCTATCTAGATAGTCTGGTAGGGAACAGACTACCACGAATGCAACACAAAGACTTTGTCTCGCAGACAAGTGTTAGCTTTAGAGAGGACTTGAGTCACATCACACAATAGATTTACGCCTGAACAGGGACTTGAACCCTGGACCCTCAGATTAAAAGTCTGATGCTCTACCGACTGAGCTATCCAGGCTCTGAGAGACACCTTAGCAGTGAAAGGCTGAATACCCACATTTGCATTAAGTATCAGACAATCAAGATAGCTTTCAATGAGATCAGCAATATGCCAACCCGTGAGATCTGTGGTTGAGTGTTAAAGATGAGTCACTTATAAATGGGGCCCTGAAGACCTGTGCGAGTGACTTGGATGTATCTAGATAGTCTGGTAGGGAACAGACAAACACGAATGCAACAAGCTGACTTTGTCTAGCAGACAAGTGTTAGCTTTAGAGAGGACTTGAGTCACATCACACAATAGATTTACGCCTGAACAGGGACTTGAACCCTGGACCCTCAGATTAAAAGTCTGATGCTCTACCGACTGAGCTATCCAGGCTCTGAGAGACAGCTTAGCAGTGAAAGGCTGAATACTCACATTTGCATTAAGTATCAGACAATCAAGATAGCTTTCAATGAGATCAGCAATATGCCAACCCGTGAGATCTGTGGTTGAGTGTTAAAGATGAGGCACTTATAAATGGTGCCTGAAGACCTGTGCGAGTGACTTGGATGTATCTAGATAGCAGCGACGTGCATGTCCAGGGAGGCAAGCCTCACTGTCATACTCATAGACTGGCCATACTACAATGTAACGGAAAAACAACTAAAGAAAAACTAAATAGTAATAATAATAAAATGTCTCCACTGATCTGTGTTGTAAATGTGATTTATGTATGATTCCAATCGCTTTTTATAGTCAAAATCAGCAAATGTGCCAAGCTCCGCTACAACTACATGGGAGCGATGAGGAGTGAGGCAGGGACGAGCTCTGCCTCACGTAAGCCCACAGTAACTTGCTGGAACGCGGGCACTAATGTAGCGCGGGCACTTATTTTGTGAGCACGCTCAAGCCAGTTACTGTGTGGTAAGGTGAGGCACAGATGAGCTCTGCCTCACCTCAAAATGCGTCACCTCACAGAAACTGGCTGGAAAGCGGGCACTAAGCGCATGCCTGCACCATCTCACTGTAGGTCACCAATGTAATGTTTGTAGATCCCTTCATTACATTTATCCTCGCCATCCATAGTCTCTAAATAACTTATTTCACGTATATATGATATTTAGGCTCGCCGTACAACGGCAATGAAAAAAGCACCAGGGGAGGCAGCCATAACCTCTGCCGCACTGAAGGGGGCGCACGTGAGCCCACAGGTCCTTGTTGCTACTGTTATTCTACGCAGAGACGGTATAGACGCGAACAACAAACTAGACTTTTGAAACTAGAGGAAGATAAGGAGGACTTTTACAAAAAAGTAATAGAGATTGTTGTCCAGAAGGATAGCATGGACTTCATCTTCAAGTCAAGGTAAGACCACATTGGTAATGAAAATTGGATCTTACTAAGAAAGAACAATCCAATATTTAGATTGTGGGTATCCTTTTGTTGAACAGTCTGTTTAAAATGAATCGAAACATCAGACCAAAAAAGCTTTTGAAAATAACAGAATATTTCGATTAAGGTCAGAATATAATATTTGTAAGTCTGACTCTGAAAGAGTCAGTGCCTCACCAGCCATGAACCTCACCGCACGTCACTGCTAGATAGTCTGGTAGGGAACAGACTACCACAAATGCAACACAAAGACTTTGTCTAGCAGACAAGTGTTAGCTTTAGAGAGGACTTGAGTCACATCACACAATAGACTTACGCCTGAACAGGGACTTGAACCCTGGACCCTCAGATGAAAAACCTGATGCTCTACCGACTGAGCTATCCAGGCTCTAAAAGCCTCTGTAGTAGTGAAAGTATGCATACCAACATTTGCAAGGAGATCAGCAATGTGGCAACCAGAGAGATCTGTGGTTAAGTGTAAATGATGAGTCACTTAAAAATGGGGCCTTAAAGACCTGTGAGTGTTACTTTGATACACCTAGATATTCTGGTAGGAAACAGACTACCACGAATGCAACAAGCGGACTTTGTCTAATAGACAAATGTTAGCTTTAGAAAGGACTTGAGTGACACAATAGACGTAGTGCCTGAACAGGGACCCTCAGATTAAAAGTCTGATGTTCTACCGACTGAGCTATCCAGGCTTCAAAATGATCATCCTCTGGTCACTTCACCTGCAACATGAGATTTGACAGACATTTGTGGCCCAAACAAAGGTTTTCTCACAAATTGGGCATTAAACATCTGTGAAAGTGAGGTTCATGTACTCAGGCAGAAGCTGTGTTGAACACAGGCGAAGAAGCCTTTAAAAAGCTGAGATAATCACCCAAAGTCCAAATCCCAAACTAGGTTGATAGCGCACCATATTACCAGTTAGTAGACATTAAATATATGATAAATGTTATGTTTCTCTGACAGCTATGTAGGCTCCATGTGCCTTAAATCCAGTAAACCTTTTAGGCAAGATAAAAAACACACCCTCCACAATCCCCATAACACATTGCTTGAATATTAAAAGTCCCCTATTATACTGCTTTTCATCAATATATTATAGGTCTACGATATATACAAAACATGTCTCAGAAGTGTTTGGCTCGAAACACCAAACAGATCTTTGCAGCATTACCCATAATCCCCTCTGTTTCAGCTCTGTTTCAAACGTGCTGATTCTCTGTCTGTTACTTTAGATGAAAATAAGGAGCCCCTCCCCACGCCCCTCTGAGAGAGATTTGGTTACAAAGAACACCATGGTGCTCTAGGAGGAGATTCAGGTGATAAGGTGGGGGGGGGGGGTTACCTTGGTGATTAGCTAATGGCTACATAAGCCAAAAAATCGTTATGACATCATAAAGTGGCCAAAATATGATCAGCTCATTTTCAGCTTTTTTTATAAATGGATCAGGACAAAAAGTGAGCGAATCTTTTTTCCTGAAACTTTCAGAATCTCTTTACACAGAGGGGACACATGTTGATGTATAAAAGACAGGAAAAAGTGGATTTTGCATAATAGGTGACGTTTAAAATTGACCTACTCTTTGATGGTGATGGAGGAGGGGATCTCGGTCCAGAGGCGAGCGAACTTCACAGGGGTCACCAGCTCCTGAGGGTCCCGATCTACATGGGCGTGGAGCATGAGGCGGCAGAAGGAGGCCCGGAGGTCAAAGGGCAGCGTCTCGTCCATCATGCACAGGAAGATGAGCTCCACATCCAGCTGCTTGGAGATCTCGTCTATCGCCAGATACTGACGGTCCAGACACATCCGGGCAAAGAGCTTCAGCTGGTACCTGAGGAAACACAAAGAGAGAGACTCTGCTTTCTTATTCTTATTCTTTAATTCTCTAATACTAACTTATAACACTCTCTAATAATAACTTATAACACTCCTTGTTGTTAACCACCAACTATGTGCAATGTGTGCAATATGTGCAATATGTGCAATATGTGCAATATGTGCAATATGTGCAATATGTGCACTATGTGCAATATGTGCAATATGTGCAATTTTTGAATTATGTGCAATATGTATATATGCCGTTAATAACTGTGCAATATATACCTGGCTGTTTTTTTGTAAATTGTGTAACCTTGTCTTTATTATAATTTTTTTTGTATCTTTAATATTTGTTTTATGCATGCTACTTAGGTAACATTAAGCTGTATTTGGATCTTTTCTGGTGAAACAATGTAAATGTCCCCTCTGTGGCACTAATAAAGGTATTCTAATTCTGATGTATTAGGATCCCCATTAGCACTAGCGTGAGCATTGGTTATTCTTCCTCACACACACAAAACATACATAAAACAAAACTAAAACAAAACAGCTAATAATTTCATGCAATTTACAATGCTATATGAAGTGAAAACTAAAATGGTCATCCAATTTTAGCCATCATAAGGCCAAACAAGAAAATACAAATAATTAAATTAAACATAATAATACAGTACATAGCCACAGGCACAGTTCAATTATACTTTATAATACTGAGATAATTTTTTAAGCCACCTTTTGAAATGTACTTGAGAATTTTCCTGAATGACATAGACCGGTAAAGAATTCCAGCTGACCATGGCTCTGAATATGACTGTTTTCTTGTATTATCATTCTAGAGTGAACTTGATGTATAAGGGAAGCAAATATTGTGATTTTCATAACATTTTCTGTGGATAACCCCTCCATCTTTATCTACCTGTAGTAGGTGAGGACGTTCTCATCGTGAGCGTTCCCTTGTCTTGCCTCCTGAGCCAGCTGTCTGATGCCCTTCTCCTGCTTCTCATTGGTCTTGTCTGTCCACACCAGCCACACCTGCAGGAAGAGAATACAACTAGATCAGATTAGACAGAATTCTGCATCCTCAGCTTCATTTGTTAAAGGTCACCTATTATGCAAAATCCACATTTTCCTGTCTTTTATACATAAACATGTGTCCCCTCTGTGTAAAGAGACTCTGAAAGTTTCAGGAAAAAAGATTCTCTCACTTTTTGTTCTGATCCATTTATATAAAAACCTGTCTGAAAATGAGCTGATCAGATTTTGGCCACTTTATGATGTCATAACGATTTTTTTGGCTTGTGTAACCATTAGCCAATCACCAACCAAGGTAACCCCCCCCCCACCTTATCACCTGAATCTCCTCCTAGAGCACCATTGAGTTCTTTGTAACCAAATCTCTCTCAGAGGGGCGTGGGGAGGGGCTCCTTATTTTCATCTAAAGTAACAGACAGAGAATCAGCACTTTGGAAACAGGGCTGAAACAGAGGGGATTATGGGTAATGCTGCAATGATCTGTTTGGTGTTTCGAGCCAAACACTTCAGAGACATGTTTTGTATATATCTGAGACCTATAATATATTGATGAAAAACAGAATAATAGGGGACTTTTAAAGCTGTAAACATGGCTTTGTCTATCTCTATTAGGCAGAGAGAAAAACTCTTGAATCTTCAGAAATGCAACGTATTTGAATGTTCTGCTTTCAGAAAACTCACGGTCCCATCTTCATCCAGCGCTGGTAAAATGTACACAGCCGTGCTAAACATGTTAAGTAAATGGAAAGCTGTTAAATGTATTCTAAGATAGGAGTACCCAAACTTTATAGTAACTGTGAGACTATGATACAATCGTCGCTGGTTCGATCCTAGCCCTGAACCTTTGATGCATTTAATTTCCAACCAAGTGGTATAAAAGACATTTCCATGCCTGATTCATTTGTCATTAGATCTTAGAATTGACAACTTTACAAACCAATTTAATTACATAATAATAAACAGATGCATTAAGAGTCACCTCGTCATCATCTCCATAGTCTTCCATCCCGATGTATTCTCCACCACCAGGGGTCGCATCTTTGGGGACACGACGTCTGGAAGGGACAAAACAGAAATAAAGTTAAATTATAACATGTTGATATCCTCAGTAGTGTATCTCTGGGATAATTTGCTTGTGCTATAACTTTGCGAGAAATCCCACTTTTACACACAATTACTGACTGCAATTACAAAGACTGCTAAACACCTGAGCTCTGTTAAGTGCCCTGATAAACATTCCTGTTGTCATCTTGCAATATACAAATTTATATAAATAGTTATCACCGCAATAAACCGTATTTCATTTTGTCTTAATTTACATTATTAATTTCATACTCTGTTGTAGAATATGGGATATGTACAATATCCCATATTCTATTGACATGTACATAGACTTTTTGCACTACTTTTTATTTTGTATTTTATTATATATGTTGCATTGTTGGAGGAGCTCAGGTCAGAATAATTTTATTTCCATTTATACGCTGTAGCTTTGTGCATATGTCAATAAAACCTTTGAATCTTGAATCTGGAATTGTTATCATAAGTGTCTTTGCCACTCAACTAAATACGAGTAGTGTTCAACTACAGTGAAGCACAGAGTATATTTCATTCCCAACCTCCCCCTTTAATTTGAATCCAGTGCAAATAAGGCCTTTAATGATGCAAAAATCATTGGTAACTGAGGGGTTACAGATCATCCCTCCTTCTCTCCCTCCCTCCCTCCTCACTCTGTCTTGATGAGGATATCCTGGTTTTTGGGGTCCAGTACACATTTACAGATGAGCTCCTGAGTGACGGGGATGGCCACGTTGTTGGACACACACAGATCTGACAGGTAGTCCAGAAACCTGTACAAACACAAACACAAAATAAGAATAAATATACCACCAACATATTGAGGGCCTCTACCCTCTGCTTCCTCCCTCCATGTGTACCTGGGCTCTCTGTTCTTGCGGACCAGGCTGACGAAGGTCTCCACCTCGGTCTTGGTGATGTGTTTTTCCAGCAGTTTTCGGTTGTTGTGCAGCAGGGCGGTGATGGTGTCCTCAGCCAGGATGTCATAACCGATCTGACTCTGCATCACACCGAACTGCTTCGCTATGTGCTCCTGAAGGGGGAGGAAGGTGAAGAAGACTCAGAAAGTTAAAAAAAGAATAACTGACCAGGGAAGTCATGTATATTTAGAATTGTACATAAAGGAAAAAGAAAACAAAATGTGTTATGCTTCTATCAAACAATTCATAATCTCATCATAGTATAAATATATTAAATAATTTATAATAATGATAACAATACCTAAATACAAACTTTTTACAATTTAAGTGTTTCAAGTTTGGATTGGTCCTTCAACACTAACTTTGGTTAAATTAGGTTTATTTGTCATTCGAGAAAACATCTCACATTTCTCACACGTTTGAAAGTCGTTTGTGTCTCTGGAGCAAGCTTTTCAAAATCGAAAAGAAAATATCTCGGCTTGGGCTTCGGACTTTCATTAAAAACTGGACGTTGGTATTTAGGACAACATTGGCGAATTGCCATTTTTATTTTAATCTTTCTCTTGTGAGACCCCCAGCTTTATGTAAGTTCAAGACTAAATTACTGTAGCGTCTCTTTTAATGGGAATGCCAAAATTCAGTTTGTTTTACTGATAAGAACAGCAGATAAGAGTATCATCAGCATAGATTACATTACATTGCATTTAGATCGATACAAGATTTTATTTGTATATTTAGAAAACAGAAATGGTCCCAGTACAGAACCCTAGGGGTGCACCCTTTGATACAGGAAAACTGTATCTGAACACATTTTAAGTAGATTTAACAGATATTTGACAACTTGGGTCTTCATCGGCATTATTTTCATCCTCTTCCTCCTCACCTGGTTCTTGCGGTAGTCCTCCTGGGAGTGTCGGAGGACTCGATAGCAGAGTCTGAACATGTACTGGTAGGGAGAGTTCTTCTGGTCCGCCAGCTCCTCCAGACGCAGCAGAGGACCCTCCCCTTCCCCCCGGTCCTTAAAGGGGGCCTTCAGGATGCCAAAGATCTGAAACATACAATCAAGGAATACTGTAGTCCTGGTTCCTGCATCTGCTTCTTAATTACTTGTACCTGAGTGATTCTTGGATCTCACCTGTTTGAGGATGTTCTGTTCTCTCATCAGTTTCTGTCTCTCTCGGTTGGCTTTGGACATGTTTACATCCAGGACCGCCTGCCCGCTGTTGATGACGTCAGCCACGAAGAAAACCACGTCCTCCAGCAGCTTGATGGCAAACCTGACCGGCAACATTTTTTGTATATTAAGTATTCCTCTAAGTCAGTCTTCCTGTATGTACTTGCTTATTTTCTTGTGTAATTTCTCGGTTTACTGAATTTCTCTTAGTTTTTAGTTTTTATCTGTACTCTCTACTTAATATAAAAATCAAAAACTCTGCGACTGCGACATGCTACTTTTTCTTGAATGTTACAAATAAATAAATGTATCTTAGGCTGGAGCCACACGAGGACGATAACGCAAATGGACCGAAATCGATATCAAAAAAGTATTCCGTCCACACGCGATAGGCACCAGAAACGTGTCCGTTCACACGAGACCGCTCGAAAGCGCTGGAGACGCTGTAGTACATATGCCAGGCCTGTAAGTGGCGCTGTACTCCGGCCTTAAAAGCAGCGAAGAAGACTTCCCGTGAATGGTTGCCAATGGTGACCTTCTGTTTATTCTCCGCTGTGGCTCTTTTTCTCGCTCCCCAAGGCAAGCGTTTGCTCCTGCTGTAAATCTCTCCGGTAGTCCACCAGCAGATGAAAAACACCCACCTCTCCGCCTCTTCCAAGGGACGAGGGGACCGTGCGGCAGAGTTTCAGTTTGATTTTTTCCCGCCGGTCAACATGTCCGTTAAAGTTTAAATCCTTCGGACAAAATTAGAAAAGTGCCGGTCAGAGGTCTTCTTTGTTATTTATTGAGCTTTACAACTAATTGATAACGACTATATAAGAATACAAAACGGAGCCTCTCTTTTCCTTCCCCTCTGATGACAGCCCAGCAGCTGATCTCTGAGCAGGAGAGGTGGGAGAGGCGGGGCTATTGCTTCAACGTTATCAGGAAATGATCGTATAGGCGTAAACACGGAGCCGTTTTCCCCCCCAGAGCGTTTCGTTCGCAGATCCAGACCCTTTATCGTTATCATTTTATGCGTTTCCATGTCGGCCTCGTGTGGCCGAACCGTCTATATGATAGAGAACTGTAGCGGATATGACCGTTATCATCCTCGTGTGGCTGGGGCCTTAATCTACATCAGCTAGGTCAGGGGTGCCCAACCTTTTTTGAACCGAGAGCTACTTTTAAAGTTGCCAGTCTGCCAAGATCTACCAGTCCAAATAGAGAGACGTAGCCATTACCGACAGCCTACCAGGTGAATACACACTTCTACTTGTATAAAACTGACCTTTGTACGATTAATACTTCATAAAATACTGCAGATCCTTTATCTTACCTATTTCTAATCTACACACATACAAGTATTTTACTGAAGTTACACAACAGTGTTGTTGATACAGAGTTGGAGTTTATTCACACGTCACTACAGTGGGTAATGTTTTCAAGAAACATTGGACAGTGCTGCCACATATGACACAGGAACAAAGAAAAGACTCTGAACCCTTTCTTTGCCATTATATAAAAATAGTGTTGCTACAAAAGTATAAATGAGGCTTACTAATAAGACAACTCAGATCTAAAGCTACTCAGGAATCTGCTGCCAAAGTGCAATAAAAAAGACTAAATTAATAGAATCAAACCCTTTTTTGTTGCATTTTAGTAGAGTATAAAAAGAAATGCCTTTAAAATAGGATGCAAGCAACACTAGTTTCTTAACCTAAATTGATAATAGACTATAATCAATTTAAGTTTGCATTCTTATACCATTTTGTACAATAATTATAATGAATAAGTTCAAACAAACTAAAACTTACAGCTGATTAATAACGGTATCTAACTTGAGTTTTTATTATATCAAAAACCTGTTGAAATGCTACTGTTATTTTTACTGTCCGCCAAAAGCACATCGGCAGCCTCCAGGAATGCTTCTTACACAACTTCGCCGTCTTTGAAAGACTTCATGTGTTTCGCAAGAACGTGACTGACACGATAAGATGCTCTGGTAGCAGCCTTGCTCTTGTTGTTGGGCCTGGTGAAAATGGACTGCTGTGCATTTAGCTGTCCTTTCAGGCCCCTCCCCTTTTGGGAGCGTAGGGCAGAATTAGGAGGGAATTCCGTCTCGTAGCGTTTGTGCACTGTTTTGAAATGCTGCTCCTAAATTACTCTTCTTCGATAAAGCCACGCTCGCATTGCAGATGAGACAGATGGAATTTGAATAGATACAAAAATAATCATCCTCCCACTCGGAGTGAAAATTATATATGTGTTGCTTCTGCCATAATTGCGGTCTTGTGTGTGTGCGGACTGTCACTCCTGTTGACACGGACAACGTTAGCGAACTAGTGCACTGCCCACTGCCTACCAGCGACGCCCCGACACAGGGGTCACGCCGGCCAATCACAAAGCTTTGATGCGTTCAAGTGCATTATTCTGGCACAGGAAGATTATGTTACAGGACATTAACGATAAAACAGAATATTGTTGTTCTATTTTTAGACACATCTCGCGATCGACAGGGAATCTCCCCGCGATCGACCGGTCGATCACGATCGACTGGTTGGGCACCCCTGAGCTAGGTCATGGCGGAATAACCATAAGGAATTTGACAATTTCAGATAAAACAAATTCATAGGGAGATAAAAGTATTTCCTGAAGGCATGCAAACAGATACAGTAGATACACTTCATATTATACACAAAAAAAACACACATCACATTGACACACAGTGACCTACCGGCGGTCGTTCTGGCTGATGAAGCCCTGTCCGAACTGGTCCACCACGGTGCTCAGCATGGCGCTGGCATCGTTAGCGAAGTCCAGATCTCTGATCTCCATCACAGGAACAGAGACGATGGCAAACGCCTCCTTATCCTCTTTAGTGGGACACGTTCCTAACTGCAGGAGGAGGTACAATAATATCACATACTGAGAAACATTCATCCTTTACTAAAAAACAAACCAAACGTTCTTTCTAAAATAAAACCTGTTTGGGGAAGTTCTGTGAAGATAATTGTTGTCTTAACATAAGCAGAAAAACACATAAAACTGTCAAAGGTATGATACATAAACTAGTGAATTCAAAGCATCTAAGGTAGATTTGAACTAGAGTGGGACTTACCATGAGTCTGATGGGTCTCTCCTCGTCGATATCGATGGGGACGTTGGTGCTCTGGATCCAGGTGTTGGTGCACAGATGTCTTAGTCGTACGTACGAGTTTCTGGAAGAAAACAGGTTCAACAGGTTCAAGCCACTGAAGTTGGTTTAGTGTCCTTTATGGTCCTCTTTCAAATGTTTTGAATTAGCTTGTGGTGCTTCACCGGATAAATTAATCTACATACCAATCTGCTGCTAATCTACTTTGCTATTTGGATTACAGTTAAACTGACATACAAATTAAGACTTCCTGTACAATTGTATAATATTAAACCCTGCAAAAAGAAAGTATATATGGCACATGCAGAATCACAGACTAAGGGACAACAGACGCCTTCATCATGTTTGCTTATTGCTTGATGAAGAGGATTTAAAATGTGCCTTATTTCAGTCCAATAAAGTTATACAGATCTTCTAAAAAATCCAAACTTAGTAGAACATATATCCTGTTATTTTATGCCGTGCTTTAATTCATATTCAATAAACCATAATTGTTCCTTACCGTGGTACGAACGAGTCGGTCTTCTGCAGCGTGGTCGGGTCGAGCTCGAACAGCGAGGCGATGTCGTTCCCATGAGCCACCGCCACCAACTTGTACTTGATCCTCTCGCCGTGGGAGCGCTTGGTGCGACTGCTGTCGACCTACACAGAGGTCAGAGGTCACAGTGAGGCTCAGGAGGTGAAAGGGTTCAAATACACAGACGGAACACTCTATTTTAAACAGAAGAAGTCATTCAAATAGTTTCTCCAGAGCTGTGTGATATTAACTGTTTAAATCCCACTGGTGTTGATGTGTGACGATGGTAAAGAAGTGAACTCACTACAGATGCCGGCTCTGCACTGTCTCCTTTATATCCCGGGTTCTCCTGCAAAAAAAACAACAACAGTTACCCAAAAATATATTATCTAACACAAGAAAACCCCTCAAAAAGAAAATTACTTTTAAGATTCTGTAGGGTTACAAATAAATGCAACACAGATTAGTATTATCTATTACAAGTTATTTGGAATACAACAGGGGTACATTTTGAGTAGCATGAGAGCTTAAGCAATTTAGCAATAAGTCAAACAATAAAATGTTTTAAACTAATCTGCATCTAAATCTAGTAAGTGAGAAACAAGGATTAGTTTCAAAGGCATTCAAATTATATGTATCAGCATTTGATAATTGGTAGATAGTAATGTTTATACTGATGACTTCCTGTTGTGGCAGATCAGCTGTTAATGCTTATAATCCAATCAGAAATCATTCATTCATTCACTCATACATCCTTCCACACAGTGTTGCCATGGTTACCTCAGCAGCCAGGTAGTTTCCGGTGGCCAGGTGTTTGAAGCGATAGAGGCTGTTCCAATGTCCCGCCCCCCCCACGACAAGGGTCATGATGGACAACCTGACGGACCAATCAGAACACAGAGGAAGTTTGATATAAGTTCAGTGTGTGTGCGTGTGCGTGTGGTGTGCGTGTGCGTGGTGCGTGTGCGTGTGTGTGTGTGCTGTGTGTGTGTGAGTGTGTGGTGTGTGCGTGTGCTGTGTGTGTGTGTGCGTGTGTGTGTGTGCGTGTGTGTGTGTGTACCTCGATCTCCCACAGAGCGTTGGAGCTGGTGGCTGAGGTGGCAGATTGTCTCAGAGTCGTTCGGAGGAACACGTGGAGTTTGCTCTTGTACTCGTCGCAGGTCAGAAACTTCTCCTGCTCGGCGTGAAACAAACGCACCACCTCGCCCTGAGAGAGAAGAGTTTAACAGGAATTAAAGTATATTTTCTTATTTTCTGCTTAACTACTTCAAGCTCATATTGCAGGAGCCAATTTGCTAAAATCACTGTTTGAATTACTGTAATTTATTTCTGGAATCTTTTGGTCAATTTTGGATAAACTCAGTAATCATGGCATTGTGTTTTGTCCCCACTGCAATTACTTCTTCTGCATTCCAACAACAGCTAAGGCTCATGGGTATTGTAGTATTCAAAGATTTCCAAAAAGCCAAAGTAAAGGAAAAAACGTATTAAAAATTACTATGAGCACAAATTCTAAGAAAAATTCTCGCAGCTTTTTTAAAATTCTGATTTGTAAATAAATGTTATGAGGTTTATTCACACTTTATAGCTGATATAATATCCTTAAGTTTAACTGAATCTAAATATATGTGTATCATAGAAAGAGTGTGCTTGTTATTACACATTGGTACAATCCGGGACACAGGTGCTGTATTTATTGTATGTTCTGCATGCACTGCAGTAAAGTCACTCACTCCTTTGAGGACTTCCTCTCTGTTGTCGCTGAACATCATGAACAGGTTGATCTTCCAGCTGGTGTTGCAGTTCACAGAGTTCACCTGCAGGGGGAGAACAGCTGTTTACTAAGAGTCTCTGATGCAGTCCTCATCAGAACCAGAACTATATTCTGTGTCAGTGCTCTGATTACTCTGCGTCTCACCTCTTTGCAGCCCGGATGGTCGGTCAGCTCGTAGTTTGAGGCGTGCAGCGGCTGCCCGGCGTTCACCGGGTTCAGCATCACTTTGTCTCCAACCACCACCTGAGACACAAACACCAGTCACTAAACACGTTCTGCCCACTATACCTGTTCAAATAAAATAATAATAATAATAGCTTGGATTTATATAGCGCCTTTCAAGGGACCCAAGGTCGCTTTACAAGTAATAGGACACAAAGTAAGCGTCGGCATGATAATGATGGTAATTCTCCCTAAAAGAACCACACACTGTGAAATGAACCTTAACTGTTGTGAAAAGTGCAAATAAGCCTCATTGCAGAACAAAACAAAAACAATATACTTTATATATATATATATACTGTATTAAACTATATTGGGAAAAGATCAATATTTTTTTATTATATTCTAAATAAATTCACAATATATATTTTCTCTCTCCCTTTCCCAAAGTATTTGCTTAAATCCAATATAAAAAAATGTGTAAATATCAGATTTGATAATAAATAAAAAATGGAATCAGCAATATAAATTCTGCACAAATATATATATATATATATATATTTTTTTTTAAGGACATAGTGTCAGATATGTTTGTATAAAGTGATATTTTAACAATATTATTATAACTATTATGATCGTGATAGTGAAGGCCTTGTTGTTATGTGTGTTCCTGTCCAGGGACTGCAGATGGAAATGAGCTGCTAGCTGTAATCTGGCATAAAGCTTCTCTTCTCTTTGAGATCAATGTATTTCTATGCATGGTCCTTGTTCAATAAAGATATATAATTAATTAAGTGCTGATCATGCTCAATCATTTTTTATAACTCTTCTTTACTGTAACTAGAGGAAAGGTCAAGGAAGATATGGAAATATCAGAAGATGATTTTAATGGTGGTGGAGAAGATCAGCCGTCACTAAATTGTTGTGATTCGTCCTGAGGGGACAATGAGCCGAGTTATTATCCTCTGGTGTTTATGTATAACACGCTGTTGCAGATGAGTGCTAATCACATTGTCTCCGTTGGCTCTGAGCTTCCAGAAGGGCTGGATGAAGAGCCAGGAGCCCTCGTTCCCCGTCCCGTCCAGAGTGACCCGCATGGCGTTCTTCTCCAGGAGAGCGGGGAGGCGCTTGTTCACCGTCAGGTACTTATTACTCTTCATGTGCAGCAACTAGAGAGAGAGAGAGAGAGAGAGAGAGAGAGAGAGAGAGAGAGAGAGAGAGAGAGAGAGAGAGAGAGAGAGAGAGAGAGAGAGAGAGAGAGAGAGAACAGGGGCGTTTATTTAACACTAAGTCAGATAAATACTTGAAAAATTGTTTATTATTTTATTGATAAGAATAAATGACTATGGTTTTAGGAGCAACCGATCAACACAGCATTAATGGAAATAATGGAAGACCTTACATCAGCATTAGAAAGTAACAAATGCACAATATGGGTATTTATTGATCTCAAAAAAGCTTTTGATAACGTAGATCAGGGGTGGCCAACCCGCGGCTCTCGAGCCGCATGCGGCTCTTTGCCTATAGTTTCATGCGGCTCTTCAGTTCATATCGAATTGTATATGTGTGAGTTTGGGGGAGAGACACTGACTCATGACTAGTGTTGCACGGTGTACCGATACTTGAAAGGTACCGCGATACCCTGCCGTTAAAAATGTTACGATTCCTCCGTTTCATTAGTATCGGTACTTTAAGAATGACGGGGAAAAGTACTCCGGTGAGAAAGCGCCGTTTTAATAAGAGCCGTGTGTGTTCAGCGCTCTGCTTCCACTCCCTGCACTGCAGCCGTGCCTGCAGTCCCGCCCCTCTCAAGTGCCTCCCCTCTCTCGTGCACGCGCTAGCTGCCAGAGCATGTGAGAAAACGAGAAGCATGGCTGCAAGTGGGAGTGCAGCTGCCGCTGCGCCTCGGCTTGTTGACAAAAAAGACGCCAGAAGCGAAATGTGGAAGTATTTGAGCTATATCTCTGACAGTGAGGGCAAGCCTACGGACACCACGAGGCCTGTCTGTGAGACATGTATTCATTTTTATTTAATACGAATTCTTGTCATTTATTTTATTTATTGTTCTCATTGTTTAAAAGGTTGTGTTATGGTTCTGGTGTGAAATAAAGCACAATAATTACATTTAAGACTGTTTCCCTTTTTTTAAGAAAAGTATCGAAAAAGAATCAGAATCGCAATTCTTGACTTGGTATCGAAACCAAAATGTTGGTATCGTGACAACACTAGCTACTCCTGACAGTTAAACCTGATATTTAGTAGGTCTGTTAAGTATTGAATGCTGATCATTCTGACGTAATTTGTCCGGTCAAAGTTGTTTGGGCTCCGATAAAATCGCTCCGTTACTTTTGTCCCGTGTTACTTTCGTCCCGGCTCTCCCTACGTGTGTATGTGTGGTGTCAGGTGTCAGTATGAGAGGATGACAGCGCGTCTAATTTTGATGTGGCCCAAGAGCCAATCACAATAATACCTGCGATGCAGTGAACCAATCACCTTTGAGGGGGGGGGGAAACCTATCGTTGATTAAACACTATCCAGTGTTTCCCCTACCATTGTCTTGGAGGGGCGCTGCGCCCCGCCAACGGAGCCCCGCGACCCCCCTGAAATTCAAGGTGTTTAAAAAATATATATAATTGTTTTTTAAAATATAAATATAGCACCAAATTGCAAATAATCTATAACTACTGTCACTTTTCGCATTGAACATGTGCTCTTTTATTAAATAAACTAAACGCTTTCATTTTAAGTTGTGAGTTTAGTGTTTTTGACCCTAAGAAACACTGATGCATTCATCAATAACAATAAGCTCCTCTCTCTGCTCCAGAGGATTTAAAAAATATATATCCCAATGCCACAAAGATGCATCAGTGACGTGGTTGAAATCTTGTCTCCAGAAAACAAAAAACTGAAACAAGCGGTATCAGTGACTGTGTGTTTGATGTGGCTCTTTGCAGTAACATAGAAACAATGTGGCTCTTAACCTCTGACTGGTTGGCCACCCCTGCCGTAGATCATAACATCCTCATATCTAAATTGGAATAAGAGGAATAGCTCAGAACTGGATAGGAAGTTATCTGAAAAATAGACAATTCCATGGTAATACGTCTAATTATATGAAGAGTACATGTTTTGTTTTAAAAGAACTGTGGAATAAACAAATAAATAAAACTTCAGTTTGGTGCAAGATTCAAGATTTTAAGATTCAAGGCTTTATTGTCAGCTTCAGTGGAGATATGGGAATGAAAACTTAACTCACAGGCTTCTCCCACAAAGCAACATGAATATATATATAGGACGTAAAACAAATTAAACAGATACAAATAGTGAAATAAATAACAATAGAAATGAAATAGTGCAAGATAATGTTTTGAGATGTGCAAGTAAATACAAATAAAATAGAAATAGTGCAAGAAGAGTCTATATACAAGTACATTGAATATGATTTATAGATAAATAAATTGCAAACAGACGAATGTGTATGGAGGCAACGATAATGTGCAGCGAAATTATATATTTTTCCTCAGTCTCACGTTCAGACTCGAACCAGATGTGAGTGTTTCCACTGATACTATTTACTACAGTCATTCTGCAGCCGCTTCATTTCTAGTTTCTCTTACTTTTATCATGAAATGCGACGGTATAGAGGCACTAACATGTCGTCAGGTTCTGCTCATGAGATTTAAAAACTAACACACTAACAGTAATAATGGCCTCTTTGTCTAAACTGAAGTGTGTGTGTTTAAACATGAGGAAGGTGCAGTTCAGTTATAATTTCTACTGTAGAATTATGAAGTGATCCGTGTCACCACCTCCACACCTTTGACACACACACACACACACACACACACACACACACACACACACACCTTTCTCCTACAGGAATCTTTATCATGATCTGACAGAGTTTCTTTCAACAGCAACCACACCCAGATTGTGTGTGTGTGTGTGTGTGTGTGTGTGTGTGTGTGTGTGTGTGTGTGTGTGTGTGTGTGTGTGTGTGTGTGTGTGTGTGTGTGTGTGTGTGTGTGTGTGTGTGATGATAGATCTACAGCTTGAAAGTGGGGTCAATATTGACACTGACTAGAGATAGCAATATATCGATTCACAGCACAACCCTGTCATAAAGTAATTGTGTGTGTGTGTGTGTGTGTGTGTGTGTGTGTGTGTGTGTGTGTGTGTGTGTGTGTGTGTGTGTGTGTGTGTGTGTGTGTGTGTGTGTGTGTTTGTTTAAAGGATGCCAAAAATGTAAAATGCTTCATAAAGAGAGATTTAGACATGTAATCAGTCTTTACTTTAATAAAGGGATGAAAATACTCACTGTAAAAAGTTGGAATTTCACGCTCTGCTGTTTCACAACCGACATTTTCCACAGACTTTTAACCCATATACGGTGTGTGTGTGTGTGTGTGTGTGTGTGTGTGTGTGTGTGTGTGTGTGTGTGTGTGTGTGTGTGTGTGTGTGTGTGTGTGTGTGTGTGTGTGTGTGTGTGTGTGTGTGTGTGTGTGTGTGTGTGTGTGTGTGTGTGTGTGTGTGTGTGCATGCGTGCGTGTGTGTGTGTGGTAAACGATCTCACATGTATCGGCAAAGTCAAAAGGACAGATGTTGCCATGGCGAGGGGAAGGGAGTGGTGTGAATCACCTGGTTGTCAATGCCAACAAACTGACATTAACTACAGGACTGTGATTAAGTTAAACTCTGAGCTAATTCAACTTCCCAAAAGCATGGAAAGCATTTAAAACCAGCTCCATCTCCTCCAGCTTCAACCTCATAGGATGGTTTACTTTGAATTGTTGTTGTATGTTCATTCAGTTAAAGACGCCTTTCTTTTCTGTAGATATGCTAATAAGCTATGTGACTTTATTTTATGAATGAATTCAGTTAGTTCAATGTATAAACCTGGAGAAATATAAGATAAATACTCATTAGAGCATCACATGGGGAATCACCTGCTGCTGAAAAGAGTTCCTGACAAACACAACATTTTCCTAAAGTCATGTCCGAGTCATAAAATATAGTTCTGTTATGTTACCAACCCAAAAAGCCTTTAGAATGACCTCCATCTCTACCAGGTAGTGTAAAATGCATGCTTACTACGTGTTGTACTCTGTGTTTTGACTCTATTTGATGAATTGACCCAAATGAAATGAGGAACATACTGGAAATAACTTTGGCTGTTTGTAGTGAATTAAGATGGACTGCAAGAAAACTATATTCAAAGAAAAGGGAACATTGCTTCATTTCCAGTTATCTAATTATGAGACATTGAATACAGCATGTTAAAGAGCGCCTCCTTCATATGAATACATTATACAGAGTGTTTTGTGTTTAACAGAACAGACACAATCTTTGCCCACGCTTGTTTTGTAGGTTTTTCATCATTGTATATGTTTTGTCTCTTTTAGAAGGCGAATTATGCGGTTTTTGTACAATTCTGTGAGTTTTTGTGGTAAATTCCTGTCTTTTTGCTCTGAATTTTGCATTTGTTTAGTCCTTTTGAGTCTTTTCTTGTTTGCTTTGCGCCTCCATGAATGTGCTGCGTCTCTCTACAGTTATGTTGTGTCCCGATGTTAACATTTTCTGTTTTTTGAATGTGTTTTTGCATTTCTGTAGTTATGTTGTGTCGTATTGTAGTTGTTTTGTGCTATTCCACATCTCCTTACATTATTCTTTGTGTTTTTTATAAATCAATATATTTCTAGTCGTTTGATTTGAATGATTATAATTCAAACAGATATGATGCAGTCTCAGAGGGTCTAGACCAGATTCCTGAATACTGTATTCAGTGATCCATGACTCTGAACTTTTATTGTATACAATCTTATCTCGGATGTCGTATCTCTGTTATTTCAAACACTCCGAGACAATCAGTAACCTTCACATGTTTCCTGTGGAGCCGATCAGCCTCACTTCCAGTGCAGGAACTCAACAGCGCCCCAGTTTCATGTTAATGTCAATAAATAACCTCTTTTTATTGGAACGTATGAGCACTTTACCTGCATGACTGTTCCATATTTGACAACGTCTCCGTGGACTTTCTTGTTTTCTGTCTCGTTCTGCTTCTGCTCCAGGTTGGACGCATGCTGCAAAACACACATACACACACACACACACACACACAGAATAAAGTAACATATGTTGCAACCAAACATTAACAATGATCACTCAGAGTATTTGTAGTGGATAGTAATAACATCCTGCTCTCTGTGTTGGACATGTCTTTGTAAACAACTTCTTTTGCACACATTCACATTTTCTTGTTTTGTACTTGGAGGATAAAGTTGACATGTAGAAAGAAAATGTCCAAATCTGAAGAAAACATACATTTCCAAAGTTCAAATACAATTGTTGGAAATAAAAGTGGATAATAAATCAAATGACTAGCGCTAGCACCAAGGATACATGTCCAGCTTTATTCTTGACTATTCCACAGCGTTCACAGAATGCAAAATAAATAATCTTCTTCTATGCTTGACCAAATACTTTTTCACACAGTCAGGTGTGCTGCTCATCGTCTCCTAGTGGAAGTAGAGGAGGTTTTACCAGCGTCAGGTTTCAAATGAGTTTAGTCAACTAACATTCAGCTAAAGAGCATCGTAACAGACACAGAAAAAAGAGCTTTCTTTGCTTCAAAGTGAGTTTTGTAGTTGGGTCATTTTTACATGAAAATATGTATTTTATTTAGTCCAAACATATATATATTCTTTAATTGTATTGATTTTATTTAAGTGTTATTATTATGATTATTATGTATTTTTTGGCAATAGTGTTTCTACCTATTTAAAACACTTCTCTGTATAAATGAAGCTTTGCCTCAATCATTTGAATCATCAATGTAAAGGAGAGAACCGTGAATCAAAGAATGAAAGACACATCAGTTGATAATAAACGTCTATCTGTGTGAGCAGAAGTGTGTGTGAGCAGAAGTGTGTGTGAGCAGACGTGTGTGTGAGCAGAGGTGTGTGTGAGCAGAGGTGTGTGTGAGCAGAGGTGTGTGTGAGCAGAGGTGTGTGTGAGCAGAAGTGTGTGTGAGCAGAAGTGTGTGTGAGCAGAAGTGTATGTGAGCAGAAGTGTGTGTGAGCAGACGTGTGTGTGAGCAGAGGTGTGTGAGCAGAGGTGTGTGAGCAGAAGTGTGTGTGAGCAGAAGTGTGTGTGAGCAGAAGTGTGTGTGAGCAGAAGTGTGTGTGAGCAGAGGTGTGTGTGAGCAGAGGTGTGTGTGAGCAGAGGTGTGTGTGAGCAGAAGTGTGTGTGAGCAGAGGTGTGTGTGAGCAGAAGTGTGTGTGAGCAGAAGTGTGTGTGAGCAGAAGTGTGTGTGAGCAGAGGTGTGTGTGAGCAGAAGTGTGTGTGAGCAGAGGTGTGAGCAGAAGTGTGTGTGAGCAGAAGTGTGTGTGAGTAGAAGTGTGTGTGAGCAGAGGTGTGGGTAAGCAGAGGTGTGTGTGAGCAGAGGTGTGTGTGAGCAGAAGTGTGTGTGAGCAGAGTGTGTGTGAGCAGAGTGTGTGTGAGCAGAAGTGTGTGTGAGCAGAGTGTGTGTGAGCAGAGGTGTGTGTGAGCAAAAGTGTGTGTGAGCAGAGGTGTGAGCAGAGGTGTGTGTGAGCAGAAGTGTGTGTGAGCAGACATGTGTGTGAGCAGAAGTGTGTGTGAGCAGAGGTGTGTGTGAGCAGACGTGTGTGTGAGCAGACGTGTGTGTGAGCAGAAGTGTGTGTGAGCAGACGTGTGTGTGAGCAGAAGTGTGTGTGTGAGCAGAGGTGTGTGTGAGCAGACGTGTGTGTGAGCAGACATGTGTGTGAGCAGAAGTGTGTGTGAGCAGACGTGTGTGTGTGAGCAGAAGTGTGTGTGAGCAGAGGTGTGTGTGTGAGCAGAGGTGTGTGTGTGAGCAGAGGTGTGTGTGTGAGCAGACGTGTGTGTGTGTGAGCAGATGTGTGTGTGAGCAGATGTGTGTGTGAGCAGAAGTGTGTGTGAGCAGATGTGTGTGTGAGCAGACGTGTGTGTGTGAGCAGAGGTGTGTGAGCAGAGGTGTTGTGTAGCAGAAGGGGTGTGTGAGCAGAGGTGTGTGTGTGAGCAGACGTGTGTGTGTGTGAGCAGATGTGTGTGTGAGCAGATGTGTGTGTGAGCAGAAGTGTGTGTGAGCAGAAGTGTGTGTGTGAGCAGAAGTGTGTGTGAGCAGAGGTGTGTGTGTGTGAGCAGAGGTGTGTGTGTTACCTGTAGTTTCTGCAGCAGCACCACGTCAGCGATCTTGTCCTTCTCATGTTTGGCTTGTTTGGCTTTCCAGAACTGTTTCTGAGCCGAGTATCGACTCATGGGACAAACCTTGAACAGGCAGTCTGAGGAAACACAGACACAACAGAAAAGATTCAGATATAATAGAAAATATGTGTTTAAATACAGTTCAATTCAACCTGAAAGCACTGACAAATCATTCAGGCTCAATTTCTTTGACACGTCACAGAAAATAATTTGAAAAATGAAGAATTCCTTTAGGTTTTATTATTTATATTTAAAGTCAAATGCACATTATGTAATATCTAAACCTACCCCTTTCTGCCACTAGGAGTCAAAACAGTAATAAAATATGTAGTTGGTGCCAATTTGAAGTGTCGCTGGATGATGGGAGTCATTGTCTTCATCACCATTTCTGTTAAGATTCCTTCAGTGTTCATAGTTCAGCACGTCTTAAATATGAGCCGAATTATCCACAGAGGTGTCTTACTCTCAATAATAAACAAACAAGGCAATTCAAACTGAGAGAAACACTGAATAAAGCCGCTTCATGTTGAAATGTGTGCTTCTTCTATGGGGTTTGGTACTTGCTAATGTTTGCTCGACTTTTTTCTCTGACAACTTAAGATCCAGAAGTCCAATCACTAAAATCCTTCATCTGAGTTAAAAACACCAAAACCTTAAAAGTTCAAGTTAAAAATGTGCCTTAAATGTGGGTAATAGGTCAATTTACAACAGCTTAAACACTGACACATATATATTACCTTAATTAAAATAACATATTTAATCTTTGAAGTTTGTGGGATACTGTAAGTACACAACTCAACAAAATATGTCACATAGGTCAGTTTAGATATTTTAATGCTTAAATGTGAACTACAAAATACCTTTAATCTTCATTTTTAACACTATTTATTCTACATTCTTGGTGTGGGTGATTAGTTCCAGAGTACTGATTGGTCGGTGGAGCAGCGCCTGAAGCTAATTGGTTGTTTTTGGTTTCATATCTTTAAACTGCTGAAGCGTCTGACAGTAAGTCTCTGAGAGAGTTTCAGTCACATTTATATTTCCTGCCCGATGACCAAATATGGTTGTTCTGTCTGAGAGCTGACTCCTGGAGGAACTGTTTGAAAAGCGGACCTGTTGGTGGTGTGAGGGAAAGTCAAGAAATCACCAACATGTATCCAGATTAAGCGCCATAAATGAATGATTATTTGTATTTAATTGATTTTTTCATGGTACTTTTAAATGTAAGTACTCGCGAAAAGTTCCAAAATGTGTGACTTTTGAGTTGAGCTGTGACTCTGATCTACATGTGAACTAGTTCAACTGCTCACTGTCACAAACTCAAACAGAGCAGATGGTGTGTGTGTGTGTGTGTGTGTGTGTGTGTGTGTGTGTGTGTGTGTGTGTGTGTGTGTGTGTGTGTGTGTGTGTGTGTGTGTGTGTGTGTGTGTGTGTGTGTGTGTGTGTGTGTGTGTGTGTGTGTGTGTGTGTGTGTGTGTGTTTGTGTGTGTGTGTGTCTAATGATAGCAGCTGGACTTAGATCACTCACACACATCATTTATATTTCATTCAGCACTCTGGATGTGTTCATGGTTCTTATAAAGAGACCTGACCCAGGACCAGAATCAGGCCGACGTGTGATCTCATGGTGAGGACGGAGAATATCGCATTTGGAACTGAGGACACCAATTGTCGCTATTTGTTCATGTTTTAAGACTTAAAATTAATAAATACAATTCTTCGGACAACATGTCCTCCATTTCCCTCACCGAAGAACTCAAAATCAACGTAAATATTTTCCATTTCAATAGTTTAAAAGCAGGACACTATGGCACGTTTCCACTGCAGGCCTCGCTCGGTTTGGTTAGGCCTTATTAGGCCCGGCATACTTTAATGCTGCGCTTCCATTACAGTTTAGGAACTGGGGCAGTTACTATAGTAACGCAGTGTAGGCGGAGTCGTGACGTCATCTTCAATGAGCGCCCCAGAAAAACAACACAGCCGTTAGCTCTTAGCACTCAGAGCTCACAGCTCCTCATATCTGTTTAGAAACTAGACAAAAGTTAAACAATTACAAACCACAGACTGCCTGTGTCATGGCGAATACAGTCGCTGGTTTATTTATGTCTGTATAGGTCGTTGTTGTGAGTGTGGACGACGGTCGGAGCATATATAACGTTAGCTTAGCTGATCTCCATTTAGAAAACACGCATTTTAAAAGGTTTGTCGCCTGCTGTCTGTCTGCAGACTTGTCAAAGCATTAATTCATGGTTGTTACTAACCGCTATCAGTATGTTGTTACTTCGGCATCATTTTGAAACGTGTATTACAATTAAATCACGGTCAAATATGTTCATCTTGTTGTAGTTGTAGCCCCCTTGCCAGCGATTCTCTCTCTAGTTTAGCATACTCAGCCCGACTCAGCCTGGTTGTTCCTGGCCCTAGAACCACGATTTTATGGGGCCAGAAAAACTGTGAATTAGGACCCGCTAGCCGGTACTAGGCCAAGTGGAAACGCAACAAAAAACGGGCCCCGCTCGGCTCGGCACGCTTAAAGCGAGCAACCCGCTGCAGTGGAAACGCTGTCATGTATGCATCATCTTGTGTCAGCTCCATCAAGCACACAATCACTTTTTTAGAGTGTGAGCAGGGCCGCCCCTGGCCAACTTGGGGCCCCAAGCGACATTGGGAGATGAGGCCCCCCCCCCCCCCAACCGACAGGAGTGAACTTTTTTTTTTTGGAAACAAAGTAGGCTACTTTGCAAATATAATTCCTGTTTATTATTATTATCAACGGTTACTTTTTTATACAGTGAGGTAAATGGTAAATGTGCATGTATGTCGCTCAGTATGCGTTTACAGGTGAATTTTGCATTTCCTGCCAAATACTAGCCTCAAAAAGATAAAAACATAATTAATGCAAATAAACTACTTCTACTAATAATCATAATCATAATCAATTCAATAATAAAAATACTATATTATTTTATTATAATATAGTTGTAATATAGTCAAGACAAAACATGCTTATGACATGCTCAAAAACTGATATTTTTTAAATCTGTATTCTAGTTCCCTCTGTCAGCAATGTATCAACAACTACACACACATTTCTATCAGTATTTCTTTGTGTTGTGGTTGACATGATGATGACTGTTAGGAGTTAAGGGGAGAGGCTGAGCGTCACCATGAAATGTGCAAATTGACATAAAAATGAATAAAAGGGGAACAAATGCTCCATGTTTTTTAGGCTGTAAACTTTAACTGTTATGTAAGCCAACTAGACAGACAGTGTATCACTCTTCCTCCTGTACATTAGCAGATAAAAGGCATCACATACTTGAATTAATGGTAAATAAAGAATGCTGGAAATAACTGCATCTCCATTAGCCTATAGCTATGCTCTGCAGAGACTGCCTTCTTCATGTCGTGAATTGCAGCTGATGTTTTAAGATGGCAATTGGCAATTTGACTTATACAACATTCGTAAGTTGTACATTTGACTCATACAATAACCCACCTTCGAGTGATGCTCTAGTTTCTTCATGTTTTGTTTTTTGCGCCGGACTGAAACTGTCTTTTCACCGACATCTCTTCACCTGCACTAGTGGCCGTATCAAAGCCGTGATTGGTCAGATGTCGATTCATTGCAACGGTGTCGGGTTACAGACGTGCTCCCCTTCACCTCTCACTCTCACTCTCGCAGGGGGTGCGCGGAGAACTGAGCAGAGAACTGCGCACAGCAGCTGAGGCCCTCTGGGCGGGGCCCCCTGCGCAAGGCGGGGCCCCATGCAGCCTGCGTGATTGGCCTGTAGGGAGGGGCGGCCCTGAGTGTGAGGCTGCAACCTTGATAAAGCTCATAGTTAGGACTGGCTCAGGATTTAATATAACAAGTTCCTTAGTTTTGCTGCTATAGGATTAGACTGTCTTGGGACTTTCCCCTCTAATATTATAATTCTCTTTATCTCTATATTCACTCATCTCCCAAACATGCATGGAATAGATCGACCGGGGTCAAAAACCAGGTCTGGTCCTGTTTCTCTTCACGAATGGATGCACATTATATATTGCATTTTATTATTTGTGGTACAAAGAGAAGGGTCTAGACATGCTTTGAAATGAAAGTGCAATGAGATCATTCCTCCTGATGATGATGAAACAATTAAAACAATTATGTTGGGAAGGAGGGGGGTTTGTGTTTTGGATGTGTTTTTTTAAGAATGGAAAAGAAAAATAATCAGTTTGTTATGTGGTTTTAGTTGTCATTGAACGGGTGAATGATGATTCAACTGCTGTTTTCTTTTTAGACTTGGCCTCAATAATAAAACTGTTAGGGATATTTCGACATCACTAAATAGAAACAGGTTGCATAAAAGGAAGCTCTCTATGAGGAGATCAGTTGTGACATGTCCTACTGACGCACCTGACAAAAACAAAGTTAACGTAACTCCTGCTGTGTTTGTCAACTATAAAGTGACACACACACTCACACACACACTCTTACCTCTGAATTTCTTTGGAGGATTCTCCAGATCTCCAGCAGCCGGTTCGACCACACAGCGGTCATCTACCAACCTGCAGAGAAAAACCACAGAAGAAGAAAAGTCTGTTAGGTGATTCCACTTAAAAACCCATGATATTATAGAGATAATTCATTAAAAAAAACACCATTACCAACGTTAAAAACATTTTAAAATAAAAGTATGTATTTGTCACGTTTCCTCTGTGACCTTTGTCTCAGATGAAAAACACAACAAGGAGAGAAAAGGATAAAAAAATGCCAAAAGATGTATAAAACACAAAAGAAAACACCGACTGAAAAAATATATAAAATCCACATTATAAGGAGGAGCTGACAGGGATGCAGTCTGCAGGAAACATTCATAAAACTGATCTTAAACCGATCTTTAAACCTTAAAGATCGATAGTTTGATCATCAGCAGGGTGTGAAGGGACTTTAACGTGTGACAACTTTCAGACTGTCAAACTATTTTTCTTTTTGTATTACTTTTAATATATTATATTTTAATATTCTTTTAATATTGTCTGCTTATCTGTATTATTGTGTTGCATTGTTGGAGAAGCCTGTGACCTAAGATTTTCAACGACATAATGACTCTGTAGCTATGTTAGTTTGACAATAAAGAACCTTGAACCTTGAACCTTGAGAAAAGAGTTGTACAGTCCTTTTTCAGAAGACAGGAAACAACCCGCTGGTGTTGGTGACTCCTAATCTTTATTTAGACACGTTTTCTAGATGATGTTTCCACTCTGTTGTTAAGTGATAATTTAGATGGACAGATAAGGTTTGAGAGACTGTGAGGAAGGCAAGAGGGGAGGTTTTAAAGAGAAGAAGGCCTACTGTGCTATTTGGGGGCTTCCCTTTCATGTAGTGTGTTATAAAGCTTTTTGTGCATGTAAATGGTCTGCAAAGACTAAAATCCCTGTGTTCCTTCCCCACACACTTCCTTCCCTGCCTGAAAAGCCTCCATTGGACTCCTTTGTTTACTTCAGGAATGACAACACTCTCACTTTTATTGGCTAGCGCTCAAACACATTGTACATGATAGGCTTATCCGGCAGACTGGAACCTTTAAAATGATGAAACGTGAGTCAAATTTGAGTGTGTGTGTGTGTGTGTGTGTGTGTGTGTGTGTGTGTGTGTGTGTGTGTGTGTGTGTGTGTGTGTGTGTGTGTGTGTGTGTGTGTGTGTGTGTGTGTGTGTGTGTGTGTGTGTGTGTGGTATCATTAGAGTAAATCTCTTTTACGATCAGTGTTTAGGCAACAGAGGAGCTCAATAGTGACTGACTGACACACACACACACTCACACACTTAAACTCACACACACCTGGCCTCCTGGTGATTGTAGTTAATGTGTGTATGAATGGGCAGGTAATCCTACTGACTGCAGGCTGTCTGCTCACTGCACGAAAATAAAGCTTCAACTGTGTGCGTGTGCGTGTGTGTGTGTGTGTGTGTGTGTGTGTGTGTGTGTGTGTGTGTGTGTGTGTGTGTGTGTGTGTGTGTGTGTGTGTGTGTGCGTGTGCGTGTGCGTGTGTGTGTGTGTGTGTGCATGTTGTGTGTGTGTGTGTGTGTGTGTGTGTGTGTGCGTGTGCGTGTGTGTGTGCGTGTGTGTGTGTGTGTGTGTGCGAAACAATGTTAAACTTCACAATAAAAGCATGGTTTTGTATGAAGGATCTACACATTGAGTAGAGCTCCTTTAACGACCATGAATTAAGCATATAAAGAACTTTATGTAATTTAAAGGATATATTTTGCGTTGGCTTGAAGCTATTTGAATAATTGCGTCACATGATGGTCATATTTTTGCATTCGGGCTGAGTCAGGGTCACAGCGGCCAATTACAAAACCAAAACCACAGCCTGTAAACAAATCAGGAGCTGCAAGTGATTCTGGGAAAAGCTCCAACATTCATATACATTACATTATCCTCTGGCTGCTTCAATGATCTGTGTTCACATTATCCATCACAATACAAGACCCACAACACAAACAAAGAGTAAACAGTTAAATGTGTTGATTTCCTGCAGTAAAAATATTACTAAACCAACCAAACTAAACTCAACTCAACAAGAAACAAGGCTTAAAATATGTGTAGCTGTGCTTTGTCATCGTCTTATAACCACTTTGTTGCACTGGTGGCGGAAAAAATGTACTGACTTGCATTTAATGCTGACTTGGTTTAAGACTAACCCCCTAACCCCCTAACCCTAAATGCAGCTGATACAACGGGCTTTAGAAATGTGTTTACATGTTTTAATATAGTTTATTTCTCCAATGAAGTAGGAGTTTTTCTAAACCCATGGACTTATGCGTTTGGTTTTTAAGAGAGACTAATAATACGCTTTTTATAATGTCTTCACTTTTCCTTCTTCTTTTCTTCCTGTCTCATATTTATCTTTATCGTCAACTATCAATCTCTTTCTTGACTTTCAATTTCTGTTTCCCTTCTTCCCACTTTTCTTTCCCTTTCTTTCTGTTGTTCCTTCCTTCCTTCCTTCCTTCCTTCCTTCCTTCCTTCCTTCCTTCCTTCCTTCCTTCCTTCCTTCCTTCCTTCCTTCCTTCCTTCCTTCCTTCCTTCCTTCCTTCCTTCCTTCGCTTAGTTTTGTTTCTGTTTACCCTTACAGTATATCTACATTCTACCCTTCCTCTTTACATGCCTGTCTTTCAATAAGTCTTCACTTTCCAAAACACATTCCCATTTTTCCAAAGGTGTATTTTTTTCTTTCTTCCCTCTTTCTTTTCTGTCTCTTGAGTCCCTTTCTGTACAAACACAGCGCGCCCCCTCCCCCTGTCACTTAAAACAGCCTCTCAGGTATTTTTTCTGCCTGCAAGGTGTGTCCCAGGTGTGTGCTGCTGATTGCTCCATTCACAAGACAGCCTTATGGAACAAATTACCCCTCCAGGTTAGACTTGCTCCAACTCTGCCTGTTTTTAAATATCGCTTAAAAACCCACTTATTTTCCTTGGCTTTTACTGTACAGGTGACACTTGTGCTGTAAAATGTGGTTTTTATTTATTTATTTTTTACCTTACTAGTGTTTTGTATTGTTTTTACGTCATATAGGAGAGTTTTTCAGTCGGTGGCTTCTGATCTGGATTCATTGTCTCGTATTACATTTGTTTCATGTCCTGTCTGTTTTTATGTATTTTTGCTATGTTTTTATACAGTTGTTGATGTACAGCACTTTGTTCAACTCTGTTGTTTTTAAATGTGCTATATAAATAAAATGGATTGGATTGGATTGGATTGGACAAGACACACACACACACACTCAGGTGTGTTGACTCAGTGAACATGATTGTGCAGCTGGCGTGTTTCACAGTGTTTAACCTGATCTATAGAAATCACATCATCCACATCTGTTTCAGAGTTAATCAGCAGGAAGTGTTTCTGTCAAACATCATCAATAACCAAGTTTTTCTGTTCATTCCCATCTGTACGTCTTCCTCACATTTTTGCCTCCTTATCTCTTCCCCTCTGACTATGCATGTTTCTAAAGACTAAAACAGATCTGTTTATTATTAAGACCAGATAAAACTCTGAAGACTACTTAACCAACATTACTAAGCACTTCTACATTGGTTGGATTTTTCGAGTTAAAGGGCCATATTCTGCTGATGTTCAGGTGTATATCAGTATGTAGTGTCTCTACTTTAAAGAGTCCTCTCCTGCTGATGTTCAGGTGTATATCAGTATGTAGTGTCTCTACTTTAAAGAGTCCTCTCCTGCTGATGTTCAGGTGTATATCAGTATGTAGTGTCTCTACTTTAAAGAGTCCTCTCCTGCTGATGTTCAGGTGTATATCAGTATGTAGTGTCTCTACTTTAAAGAGTTCTCTCCTGCTGATGTTCAGGTGTATATCAGTATGTAGTGTCTCTACTTTAAAGAGTCCTCTCCTGCTGATGTTCAGGTGTATATCAGTATGTAGTGTCTCTACTTTAAAGAGTCTTCTCCTGCTGATGTTCAGGTGTATATCAGTATGTAGTGTCTCTACTTTAAAGAGTCCTCTCCTGATGATGTTCAGGTGTATATCAGTATGTAGTGTCTCTACTTTAAAGAGTCCTCTCCTGATGATGTTCAGGTGTATATCAGTATGTAGTGTCTCTACTTTAAAGAGTCCTCTCCTGCTGATGTTCAGGTGTATATCAGTATGTAGTGTCTCTACTTTAAAGAGTCCTCTCCTGCTGATGTTCAGGTGTATATCAGTATGTAGTGTCTCTACTTTAAAGAGTCCTCTCCTGCTGATGTTCAGGTGTATATCAGTATGTAGTGTCTCTACTTTAAAGAGTCTTCTCCTGCTGATGTTCAGGTGTATATCAGTATGTAGTGTCTCTACTTTAAAGAGTCCTCTCCTGCTGATGTTCAGGTGTATATCAGTATGTAGTGTCTCTACTTTAAAGAGTCCTCTCCTGCTGATGTTCAGGTGTATATCAGTATGTAGTGTCTCTACTTTAAAGAGTCCTCTCCTGATGATGTTCAGGTGTATATCAGTATGTAGTGTCTCTACTTTAAAGAGTCCTCTCCTGCTGATGTTCAGGTGTATATCAGTATGTAGTGTCTCTACTTTAAAGAGTCCTCTCCTGCTGATGTTCAGGTGTATATCAGTATGTAGTGTCTCTACTTTAAAGAGTCCTCTCCTGCTGATGTTCAGGTGTATATCAGTATGTAGTGTCTCTACTTTAAAGAGTCCTCTCCTGCTGATGTTCAGGTGTATATCAGTATAGTGTCTCTACTTTAAAGAGTCCTCTCCTGCTGATGTTCAGGTGTATATCAGTATGTAGCGTCTCTACTTTAAAGAGTCCTCTCCTGCTGATGTTCAGGTGTATATCAGTATGTAGCATCTCTACTTTAAAGAGTCCTCTCCTGCTGATGTTCAGGTGTATATCAGTATGTAGTGTCTCTACTTTAAAGAGTCCTCTCCTGGTGATGTTCAGGTGTATATCAGTATGTAGTGTCTCTACTTTAAACAGTCCTCTCCTGCTGATGTTCAGGTGTATATCAGTATGTAGTGTCTCTACTTTAAAGAGTCCTCTCCTGCTGATGTTCAGG